CACACCCACACCCACCCCCCCACCCCCCCCCCCCCCCACACCCACCCCCCCACCCCCCCCCCCCCCCCCCCCCCCCCCCCCCCCCCCCCCCCCCCCCCCCACCCCCCCCCCCCCCCCCCCCCCCCCCACCCCCACACCCACACCCACACCCACACCCACACCCACACCCACACCCACACCCACCCTGCTCATCTTCATTCTTAAATTGAAATTTTTTCTTATTTTTTCTTTCTTCTGTTTTATTCGATCATCATTCGTTTGCTTGAATATCGAGCACACGACATTCAAGTTTTTCTTACACATTCGAAATCAAAAACAAATAAATTGAACACGAAATGTTTACAGACAACAAAGATGTCGTGCGCTCGATTTTTTTCCATATCAACACAAATCGGTTGTTGTTATCGTGCACCGCGTATTATCACTCCGTAATGTCGATGTCTTCTTTCTCACGTCTGTCTGTTTTACTTTTTCTTCCTTCCGTTTCTACTTCTTCTCGTTCTTCGTAACAGAAAAACAACAATTTATTAACGAATGTAGCGTTCGGGGTGGCTCTAAATCAAATTAACCTTCCCAGGGATATCCGACGTTGTGTTGGTAACTTGTACAGGCGTGTAGATGGTAGGCCTTCATAACATAGATTTATATATGTATGACTAGAAGCGTCCATCTTATCATCGTCTTTCCGAAGATGATGATCATGGATGTACTTGTCATACATATTATACAGGTATGTTTGTCTAACCATTGCCGACTTTGTCCACTGTATAACCCAACAGAATGTGGAGAATATCCCTGGTCGCGCGTGCGTGAAATTTTTGCAGCTGCTGCGCTTCCGAGAGCGCAATGTTCTAGAAGGCTAATTTATTTTCTCGTTTAAAAAAAACGAGCAATTACATTTTCTTTTTTACAATACCAATGTTACTTTTCAGAGTCGCAATACGCGGATGCGTTGGAGGCAATGATTTTTGGAAGATTTCTTGGGCTTTTTCGTAATATTGAAGTGCTTTCGAGTAGTCGTCCATGTTATTATACACCAAACCGATACCGTTGTAAGAGTAAGCCAAGTCGGGATGATCCGGAGGAAGAGCTATTTTTTTGATTTCAAGTGATCGTTCGTGTGATGAAAGTGCTTTCGAGTACTCGCCCATGTTATTATACACCAAACCGATACCTTCGTAGGATTGAGCCAAGTCGGGATGATTCGGAGGGAGAGCTATTTTTTGGATTTCAAGTGATCGTTCGTAATATGAAAGTGCTTTCAAGTACTCGCCCATGTTATTATACACAGAACCGATGTTGCTGTAGGAAGTAGCCAAGGAAGGATGATTCGAAGGGAGAGCAATTTTTTTGATTTCAAGCGATCGTTCATACGATGAAAGTGCTTTCGAGTACTCGCCCATGTTATTATACAGCAAACCGATGCTGTTATAGTCAAAAGCCAAGCCTGGATGATTCGGAGGGAGGACTTTCTGGTCGATATCAAGTGCTTTTTCATAATATGAAAGTGCTTTCGAGTACTCGCCCATGTTATTATACACCAAACCGATGTTGTTGTAGTCAGAAGCCAAGTCGAGCTGATTTGGAGGGAGAACTTTCTGGTCGATATCAAGCGCTTGTTCGTAGAATGAAAGTGCTTCCAAGTACTCGCCCATGTTATAATACACCATACCGATGTTGTTGTAAGAAGCAGCCAAGTCGAGCTGACTCGGAGGATTCATTTTCTTGTAGATATCGATTGCTCTTTCGTAAAATGTTATTGCCTTCGAGTATTCTGCTATGTCTCTATACACCCAGCCAAGCTTAAGATTGTAATCCGCTCGGTTCTTATCGGAAGATGCTCTCTCGAGAAGTATGCGATAGAGATGTTCTGCTTTTGCAGGCTCACCCAAGTTAATAAGAATAGAACCCAGTCGAGCCCAGCCTGTTGCCCAACTATGCTCTTTGCTTAAATGTGCTGTAAGTTTTCTAAAATCATCGTCTTGATTACCTGCAAGGGTGAGATTCACTTGCCAGAGGCGATCTGTATGCTTGTCTTCAATACGTTCTATATGGTCGATACGAAAAATTGTATGAGTCGAGAAAAGAATTTCTTCTTCTGTATTGTCGAAGAAACCACCATTTTTCACGTTGACGAAAGGTGTCGATGATGATGTGCAAATGGTCGTATCGATGCTCATAACAAAGAGGATACCAACTGAATTTGCATCGAATGCTGCTGGTCGTGCAAAGTTTTCGAAAGAAATCTCACGATTACGACTTGTCGACAAGAAATTATTAAAGGACATAAGTCCACCTTTGGTTTTCTTCATTTTTTCTAAAGCTTCCATGGATAAGCCTTGACCACGAAAAGCTTGAAATTTCGATGGCATGGCTGTTTTGCTGCTTTGTTGTTCACGATGTAGTTTTGTAATATGTTGATGTAGATGGCGGATGAAAAAGCCCATTTTAAGTATAATGTCGACATCCATTTGTCGAAGGCCACGATTAAGCATTGAATATATGAAATAAGGAGCCGTATACCACCAAATTGGTGTATGATCACTATATTCACGTTCGATTAGTTTAATTTGATCTTCAGATATATCTTCTTGTTCACGACAATATGTAACAAGATCTTTGATAGATTTTCTATCATCATCTTCGATTTCTAAGAGTGCTTCTTTTAATAATTGTGTATACATAAATAATGGATCAATTGTATTGAAGCTGATCGGAATCATAGCTTGATCACATTGTTGACGATCGATTTTTAATGCTTCACAAATTGGTTCGATCTTTGTATATACGCCTTTAATCTTCGGTACTTTATTGGCCCATTGTTCATGATAAGATTGATTACCACAAAAAACATACACAGATTCTAATTGTTGCATGGCTTCAATATCTGGTACTAATTGTTGTCCAAGTGAGCCCGATACAATCATAAATGCCTTTTCCTTTGTAATGCCACTAAGATAATCGAAACATTGTTGAGCATCGGTGAATATTGTAATGGATGCTACAATTCGTCGTAAATGTTTTAATGTATTTTGAAAATCTTCCTTTGACTCGTCAATATTGGCATCGAGCCAGACGAGAAGGAAATTTTGAATAATCCGACGAGCAGGTTGAGGGAGCGCAGCACTTCTACCCGTCGTTATTGTTGGTACTGATGCTACTGCTGTTGACGGTTCCTTAGATTTATTTGCAGTAGATGATGCAGACGATTCACTAGCAGTTGATTTTGAATATTGCTTTTGGTCCATTTGGATGATGTTGATAATAATAATGACGTTGTATTTTTCGTAAAGGAATAAATAAATAAAAATGTAAATACTTGTTCGATAGCGATAAAAAGAAAGAATTGACAAAAACGGAATTCGTCTCTCTCTCTCTCTAGATATTTTTTATTTTAGTTATTTTTCTTCTTTCGTGTTGACACTTTTTGCTTTTTGGTTTGTTATTGTTGTTGCTATAGAAGACTTGAAGGATTTCTTATTTCAATGTTTTGTTCGTTCATTTTTTCTTTTTATTTCAACAGTTTTGTTACTGACGAAACGACAATGACGAAACATGTGACAAGTGTAATCTCTGTGCATCTGGCCTGAGAATGAAGAATCCGCCCAAAAAAAATGAATAATTGCACTATCGATCGATTGTCATTCGTAGGAGAGAAAAAAAAACGAAAAATTATAAATAGAATTTCAAAATGAATTGCTTCATATATCGTTCGTTTTCATTGTTTTTCATTTTTCGTTTGCTTCTATCTGGTCTCATTAGAAAATTCTCTTATCTTTGTCTATGTTTCTATGTGCAAAATATCTTGAATCAATAAAATAAGTGTTTTATCCAAAAACAAACTAGAACGAAAAAGAAAAAATGAAACTACTAATTTCTGCTGTGACCTTGTTTTTTCGAGCAAAATATCTATGTTAATCATAATATAGTGTGAAAGCAAGAAAGAAAGCAAATTCCTTTTTTAATTAGTGTAAAAATATTTAAAACATATTCTTTTTTGAAGATACAACAGAAGTCTCTGTAGTTTTTTGATAGAGATTGGTCTCTTTTTTCCTCTTGAATTGGTTGCTATGCTCAAGTGATTATGTTTTGTTTTCTTTTGAAGTTTACATCGTCATCTCAACAAGCCGAGGAAGAAGAAGAATAAACGAAAATAAACTCATATAATAAAATGAATCAATGTTGTTTGCATTGTTGTCAAGGTTGTTTCCAACATCGTCATTGTAAGTAGGTAGTAAGAATGAGCAACGAAATAATACCACGTGTGGATGTGAGTTTGGATATGCTTGTTTATTTTTTTATAATCACTTTCATATACTACAGATATTATGCTAACAGATTTTCACTAATAACGAATGTATTTTATTTATGTGAGGAGATATGAATAAAAAACATGATTTGTTTCTCATTATTTCTAATATTATATATGATAAAATATTTATAGAAACCAAAAATGTTTGTACTTGTCATGTGTATATAGTTTAATAGAATTTATCACGTACAACTAAATGTTATAAACCCCCCACAGAATAGAAGCCCACCCTGTCCAAAATAAGCACAAAATAAAGAATTTTAAGAATTGGATAAATTACCCCACTGCTTCTTACTATTTTATTGGAAGTCAGTTTATATGTCTAATTTTCTTTACGTTGCATATTTCTTGTCAACAGACCAATGAACATCTTTCAAATGTTAACAAATTTTTACGCATATGTATTAATAAAACATAATTGTCTAAGAACTATTGAATAGAAATCACGATATGTATAAATTTGGTAGAAATAAAAATTGTCGAAAGAAAAAATATCGAAAGTATTATTAATGCACCTTTAGCACACACTAATCATATGCAAATGCAGAACATAGATCCTTCTGCAGATTATTCACGCGATGTTGATGAATGAGTGTGCTGAAGCTGCATTAATAGCACTTTTGATATTTTTTCTTTCGATAGTTGTTGCTTTCGGCGTTTTTTATTTCTACCAAATTTATACCATTCAGAGTAGACATGCAATAATATCGTTCTGTTAAGTTTCTTCCTTTTATAAGATTATGTACAACTCAGAAACGAAATGTTGAGATTTTTTATTGACTTAGCAGCAATATGAGCAAATCTTTGATTGAAGGATGAGACTTCTAAGAAAGCTAACCTATAAACAATACGAATTACGCGATAACTTATTAGATTTAAAAACAAATGCCAGCGTGGAATGATGTGATATCAATTGTTAAAACACTTATTAAATTTGAATTACCTATCTCTCAAGAAGTTGAAGACCTTTACTGTGTAGTCACAGGTTTATTTTATATTTCTGTGACGACAATTAAAATATGTCTCGTTTAGCATCTGAACTATGCATAAGCTATCATGATGAAGTCGCCTAGCGGAACTATATCGCTGTATGTCTAATAGAAGTCTTTTTTAAATTCCTTCAAAACTCGACATGCCCAAAATCAACACATGATGCTAGACGCAGTTTTTCGTATCCATAGCAAGATCCACGAAATGCTGAGGATAGATGAGTATGGGAATGTAAAACGTCATGTAAATAGCGTACTACTTTGTCGATTTGATCATGTACAACCGAGAAAGAATTAGTAATCACTTCTTAGTTCCTACGAAACTATGATAGGTATTCTGCAAGTTGTCAGACGACCTGATAATTTCGATTTGTAAATTTTTAAGTCCTTTTGTGCCTGTAAGTCAATTAAATCTTAGCTGCAGTATGAAAAAAATTATCGCAATAAAAGCCCATGTCCAAACTTATAATTTTCAGAACAAATTAGAAGCCCAGTGGGCTTCTATTCTGTGGGGAGGGGGTTTAATAGTAGGACAAGAAAACAATCAGAACATGTGTAGGGCTGCCAAATCTCCTGATTTAGCCAGGAGACTCCTGATTTTTAGACTTTTCTCCTGGTGAAAAAATGTCCTGAATCCAGGAGCTGATTTTTATGATTTTCTCCTGGTTTCTCCTGGTTTTTTTAAAGGATTTTGTCACGTTTAATTGTAGTGATATTTTGAATCAATAAGACAAAGAAAAAGAGAACTATCACACTATTTCATAGATGCAATAGACAATAAGAAAACACGTCGTTTCTGCTTGCTATGCCTAATAACATGCGTTTATTTGTGAGCTTATCTTCTTGACGGTTAAAATGTACCTCATGGACAAAAACTAGTTTAGTTCGCTTTTTCTATATCAACCTAGAATGCTATTTGTGAATTGACCTTCAGCCACATGAAATTTTTGTGGGCTGATAATAGAAACGATTTGAAGTGCAATCTTATTGGTGCATAATTAGGAACTAAATGAATAATCATCTCAGTTGTACAAAGTTCTATAATTATCCTTTAAATAATTCAGACCTATTGAAACAAATTCAGTCTTCAGAAAAATATGGCCATGTTCATAGGTGGCGAAGTGTTTTGGATCTAGGGTAGGCTCAACAATTTGTTACAGGATTCGCACCAGAAAATTAAAATATGGAGTAAGTCAATTTTTTTGATGTCATCTTGATGAAACAAAGTTAGTGTTTCTCATTTCGAACTCGTATTTTGTAATGTATAACGCTGATAGAGATAAGAAAAGCATTTGCAACTTATCCCAGGTGATTCGATCCAACTGTCGGATTACGTCGGATTATATCGGATTATATCGGAAAAATTACCGGATTTTAACGGATCCGACGGGAACTCGTCGGAAGTTGTCGGCGTCCTAGCCACAGGATTCCGACAAGAGGTTCCGGATGTCGGAATAATCAGGATGCTGCGAAATCCCTGAAACTCCGACACTTTCCGACATCCAGAACCACTTGTCGGAATCCTGTGGTTAGGATTCCGACA